GCCGATACGATGGGGATCTGGGCCTTTGCAGCCGCAACCAGCGGGTGTTCGGGCCCAAGGCCAGCCAGTGTGAGCTGCTCGATGGCGGCCGACAGGTACTCCTGCTTGGCTGCCCTGTTGTCAACGCCTTTCCCTTTGGCACGAGCGGCCGAGCCGCCCTTGCCATGCCACGGGCCAGGCCTCGAAGGTTCATCACCGCCTCCGTCTGGGGACTCAGCAACATCTTGATCGGGCACGGGAGCTCCCTTGCGGCCTCGGCCACTCTTGCCCACCAGCTGCCATGCATCTTGTGCTTGCTGCTCGCCCGTCCTCCTCCAGGGTCTCGGGGGAGCCTGGATAGTGTCGCGAACAACAATATCACGAATCCACTTCTTACAGCGAAAGCACCTGCTCCACTCCACCAAATTGTACTGATAGCCGCACGAGTTCTTGCCATAGCACGTCTTGTAACCACTCTGCGAATGCGGGCGGTCGCGTGCTTGACGAGAAGGCCCCTTGGGCAGATCTGGGACCATCAGCCGTGCGCGCAACCCGTGAGAGAAGAAAGCAGCAGTAGTTGGGGAAAACCAGCTCTGCAAAGCAAAAAGCCTCCCTGACCAGGCAGTGAGGCGTCACAGATGGGGCCGCAGACTCCCCCACGCCAGTAAGGTCAGGTCTCGTGCCAAAACGGCTACGGACTTAAGCCAAAATGGCTACGGAAGGCCTTGCCGCACGCCGCTTCGGGCCCAGGTGGGGTTGCGTGCGGTTGCGTGTGTCATTGCTTCCGTCTTGTGTCCCTCCTTGCCGCCAGTCGCCAGTCTGTCCTTGCTCCCAATCCCCCTTGCCTCACTCGCCGCAGGCTCTGCCGTGTGCCTGGGCCGCCGAGCAGAGAGCGCGTGCGCACCTGGTCCCTCTGAGCCCAGGCGCGGGCAGGCGATGCTCCTCCTGAGCGAGGAGGAGGGAGAGGAGGAGGGGGGGGAGGAGGGGGAGCAGGAGGGGGATCAGGAGGGGGAGGAGGAGGGGGAGGAGGAGGGGGAGGAGGAGGAGGAGGAGGAGGGGGAGGAGGAGGAGGGGGACGGAGAGGGAGCGGGAGGGGGAGGACGGGAGGGGGAGGAGGACAAGGCGGAGGAGATGCGCTTCGCTGGGGGCAGCGTTGCCGACTTCGTGCGCCCCGCGGCTCAGCGCCTTGCGCCGCTTCCGAGTGCCCTAGCCTGCCTGGGGCTCGGCCCGGCGCCCGCAGCTGCGCGTCGCCCCCGCTGCCCGCCCGCCGACGAAGCACAGAGAGCACTGGGTCCGTCTGGGCCCAGGGCAGGCCCAGCGCTGTAAACGGCAGACACCTGAGCAACACTTCCACAGCAAGGATGCTAATAATATGAGAAGAATAGAAAAATGTGCATGTGCATATATAATATAATAATACGTTTAGGCAATTTCCCCGGGGAAAAGGTAGGGCATGACTCTCCACAGCCTGGGTTCCCCCGGAGAACCTGCGGTTCACTCCTCCCCTCCTCCTCCGTTGCCCGGGGGATGTGGCGCCCGTGTTCCTGTTGCCCCTCCTTTCGTTGCTCGTGCTTTCGCCCCGCAGCCACTTGGGCTCCGTTGGCTGATGTGGGAGCCTTCGGAGCCTTCGGACCCTGATTCTGCAGACGAGGCCCGCCCGGGAAAGGGGGGGCACCGCAACAGGGAGGGGGGGAACGGCCAGGAAGTGAAAGATGTAGGGAAAGGGAGGCGAGGGGGGAAGGTATGGATAAGGAGGAAAGGGAAAGGAAGAGTGGCTTTGAGGGGGGGGATTACCCCAGCGCGACCCTACTTAGGAGTCGGACCCCCTACGAAAGCAGCATTAGTAGTAACAGTAAAGTTCACTGCTGGTGGCCGCTGCCTGGTAGCCGGGTAGCCCTTGCGAGCGCAGGCGGTCGCTCGCCCTTGGTTTGGCCTGGCCTGGCCGCGGGCCCAGGCCGCCAGCCCGAAGCCCAAGGCCCAACGCCTTCGGTTTTTTGGTCATCTCACCAGAGGGCGGCGCGCTCCCGCTCCCGCGATCACCGCGGGCCGCGAGCACGAGCGACGAGCGGCCCCCGACAGGTTGCCGCCGTCGTGGGGCCAGCGCTGCCACATTGCCAACGTGGTCACATTGCAGTTGCAGTGCCGCCGCCAGCAGCGCCCCCACAGCGCCCCGTCATTGCCGCCCCCCCTTCGGTCATTTATCTGGCGCGATCAGGGGGCCGCGCGCGGCATGCAGGCATGTTGCGCCTGGGCCTGCGTGCAGTTTGCACACCGGTGCAGCGCCTGATTTTGCAATTGTTGTCAATATGTCTGCCCTCGTCTGGACATATGCGCCGCGCCGCGCCTTGGAGGGCCAGGGCCGAGACGGACGCGCTCTGTTTGTTTTGTGCAAGCCTTGGGACTGAGCGACTGAGCCCCCAGCCTGCAGACCTTCTGGCTGGCCCGATCCATAGCCGTCCATGGGCATTGGGCCATGGGGCCATGGGGGCATGGCATGGGATGGGCACTTGGCAATTGAATTGGCCATGGCGCCGCGACCGTGCCCGTCGGGCCGTCGGCCAGCGGTTCGTTGCAATCATCGGTTTCGGTTCCAGTTGGCAGACCAGAGGCTGTAGTAATTGTAGTTAGTAAGTAAGTGCTAGGTAGCCCTTGCGCCTTGCGCCCTTGCGGCCTGGGGCCCAGCGCCCCAACGCATGTGACTTTAGCCGACCTTTAGCCTAACTTTAGCCCTCGGGCAGGGGCCGGGGCCGAGGCCAATCTGCTTTTTTGATTATCCTTGTCGCGCCGCCCGTTGGCGTCGACGTCGCGCGCGCTGGGGGCGACGGGCCCGAGGCCCCCCGCGGCGTCGGGCATCGGGCGGGCCCCGGGCCCGGCCAACAGGCGGGAGGCCAGAGCGCAGCCAACAGGCGCGGAGCCTCCAACTCGGGAGCCAGAGCACGGCCAACAGGCGCGGGGCCTCCAGCCGAGGAGCCCGACGACCAGACGACGACGACGATGTCCCGCGCCAAGGCCGCCCAGGCAACGCCCGCAGAGGTTGCAGAGCCGCCCCCGGGAGGGGAGCCGGGGAGCAGATCGGGAAGCACGCGGCGAGGGTGCGCCCGGGGCGGGCAGGTATTTTTTCAGTTTCGGCGTTTTTGTATTTTTGCAAAAAATATATATAAAAAAAAACGAAACGCAAAAACTATTAAAATAGTAAAAAAAATAGTTTTTTCCCACATTTTTTTTTTGTTTTTTTATATATAATTATATAAGAAAAATACATCTCCCCGGGAGAACACCTATTTTTCCAGTTCGCGCAAAGAGGGTGGCCGGAGGGATTACCTACTTTTCGGAGACCTGTCAGGATCTAGTTCCCCTTGTTCTCGGCCGTTCGGCTGGCGGCCCTCGGCGCTGAAGACGTCAGTGCTGGGGTGCCAGTTGGCTTGACGGGCCCAGGCCGCGCACTGCGGCGACGTTCTGCGCGAGGCTGGAGGGCGCCGGCCCCGGCGCAGCCCCGGCGAACGCCAAGCCAAGCGCAGTCGGACTCGACGACGTCGAGCGCGGTCATGTCTTGCACCCAGAGCTTCTGGGCGGGGCATGGGCAGGCCCGGGCGTTGGCCTGGGCCATCGCTGGCGCCATGCTGGTTTATTCCAAGTCCAAGTCGCGCTCGGGCCGATCGGGAGATCCAGCAAATTACGGCACGGCAGACTGCCATTGTGCCATTGTGGCCTGGTGCATGTTGAGTCAGGATGATCCAGGATGGCTTGCTACCCGCAGGGGCGGTGGGTTTACCGTTTACCAGTTCTACAAGTCGGGCAGGCGCTGGCGCCACTGGGGCCGAACTCTTGGCATACATCCACGCGTGCGGCATGGCAGGGGCAACGAGCTCGAGCTGGAATCCTCTGATGTGCCTTGGCAGGGTCAATGCTGGCAGCTGCTGGCAATGCTCGCAGTCGGGCAGGCATTGGAGTCGAACTCGGCGTTGCGACATTTTTTGTTTCGTGATGCCCGGTGGGATCCAGCGTGGCAGCGCTGATCTCTACTTCGCTTGGAGGCGCTGGAACCGAATTGAGGCAAACCTCATGACTCATGCAAGTCGGCCTGGTGGGAGCAACGAACGCTGCAAATCCTTTCAGGGGGGCCTAGTCACTCGTCACTAGTCCTAGTGACCTAGTGGCAGCGACGCTCGGGCAGGCGCTCGAGTCGCATGTCAGCGACCTGGTTGTGGCAGCTTTGTAGCAGCAGCTAGCAATGCTGATTTCTTCATGGAGTGGGAACAGTGCGACGTGCTCTGGGCGCCTGGTTCATGGGTTCGGGCAAACCGCTGTTTGCGCGTTTTCCCAGCATTGCTCCGACGTGCTTTCTGTCAAATAGGTCGCGCGCGTCGCGCGCAGTGCAACGGCAGACGCGACGGCGAGCCCGGCGCACGGCGGCCGCGTCGATTGTTCTGCTCAGGCAGGGGCCAGAACAGGAGAGGGGGAGGATGAGAAGAGTCTTAGAAGGGGTGGGGGGCCGGAAGGGAGGTGGACGAGCAGAGGAGGAAGGCGACGGTAGGCAGGGGTGGGCGAGGACGAGGGGGCGGGGAGGAGGGGCGACGGCAGGAAACGACAAAGGAAGGGAAGCAAACGAGGTGGAGGAAGAGAGGAAGCGCTGCACACGATCCGTTCCCTGGTGGTTATATCCACTGCTGCGCGGGATCAGCTGTTTTTGTTGTGAGCTTGTCTGGTTTGCATGCGGTTTTCATATTATTTTGATATTATTTGTGTATTTTGAGCATTTTCGGCAATACGTTGTGAGCCTTTGGGCTGGGTTGTATTAATACAAAAACAATACAGAAATAATACGAGCGAGATAGGAATGCCGCCTGTATTTTTATGATATTAATAGAGGGCGGTTTGTTTCTATGTTTTCGATAATAATAGGGGGCAACTTGTTTCTATTTTTTCGATAATAATAGGGGGGTTGCTCTTTTTGAGCTCCTCAGGAGCTTTGCCTGTTCTAGGCCCAGCGCAGGGAGCCAGCCCGCGCGGCGCACGCCCAAGGTGATCAAGTCAACTTTCGCCGAGAACAACGGGGACGACGAGGCCGCTCGCCGTCTCGGCCGCCGCCGCCACCGCTGCCTGCGCCGTCGCCCTCACCGTCGCCGCGGTCGCCTTCGCCGCCGCCGCCGTCGCCGTCGCCCCTCGTCGTCGAGGGAGGGAGGGCCAGCCCTTCAGGTCCGCATGGGGGTGCTCGTCATGGGTGGCACCGGTCTCCCAGAGGTGGTGTCCGAGATCGGCACCTCCAGGGCCGCGACGTGGGTTGCGATACACAAGGCGGGGAGGGCGAGGCGAGGCCTGGAGCCAGCTGGGGATCTGAGGTGGCCCAGCACTGATTCGGGCCAGCAGGAAGGGGGGGAATAGGTTCGAGGGTCTGGGTTTGCGGACTTCTGCCTGGATTTGTTGTTGCTGCTTTCTTCGGCTTCCGGGGACCGTTCCCAGGACGGTCAAGAACGGATCCAGGCTGAAAACTCCACCAGGTGGAGTCCGGGGGGACCAATTTTGAGTGGATTTGCGAGGGCGACCTCGAGGCGGACTCGAAGCAATTCGGGGGGGGGATGATGACGATGGTGGCGATGATGATGGCGACGATGACGATGCCGATGATAATGATGATGGTGATCATAATGCTGATGACGATGATGATGCCGATGCTGCTGATGATGATGATGATGATGATGATGCTGATGCTGATGAGGATGCTGATGATCGGTGATGGTTGATGATTGATGGTTGACGGTGGTGATGACGATGACGATGACGATGATTATGATGGTGGTGATGATGATGGTGATGCTGATTGGTGGTGATTGATGACTGATGGTTGACGGTGGTGGTGATGATGATGATGGTGGTGGTGGTGATGATGATGATGATGAGGAGGAGGAGGAGGAGGCGGAGGACGAGGAGGATGATATAATGATTCTGATGATAACGATGCTTGATGATGACTGCGAAGGCCTTACGGCCGGTGCCGCCGACCCTGAAGGGGAACGACGACATCGGCAGCGGCGGCGACGACAACGACGCTGACGTGGGTGAGAGTCCTCATGGATGCTTATTGGGATCTCTTCGAAGCGCTCTCGGGGGCCTCTTGAGGGCCTCTTGGGAGCCTCTTGGGGGCCTCACGGGGCTTCCTGGGGGCCTCTTGGGGGCCTCTTGGAGGCCTCTTGGGGCCTCATGGGGCTTCTTGGGGGCCTCTTGGTTCCTCCTGGGAGCCTCTTGGGACCGAGGGTCCGAAATGTCCGTTCTGGTCCCTCGTCTGGGTACCCTCTTGCAGCCGTCTTGGGGGCCTCTTGGGCCATATTGGAGGCGTCTTGGGCCTTCCTGGGGCCCTCTTGGGCCGTTTTGGGTCCCTCCTGGAGCCCTCGTGGGCCCTCTTAGAGCGATCTGAGGCCCAGGACACCCCCCGCGACCCCCCTCCGAGACCCCCCCCCTTCCAGCGGAGGAGGAATCAAAGTGAAGGGGCTTCCCTTCGAATCAATTACCTCTCGCTGACAAGCTTGAGGAGGAGGGCGCAGGGAAGGGGGACGAGGGAGACGACGAATGGCGGAGACGACGGCTCGAATGGACAAGCCCCTCACACACGCCGATCGGGTCGGCGGATCTGTGATTGATGATCAGTGATGGTGGCTGATGGATGTTGGCGATGATGAGGATGAGGATGAAGAGGAGGAAATGGAGGAGGAGCATGATGATGAAGATGATGATGATGAGGAGGAGGAGGATCAGGATGAAGATGAGGATGAGGATGAGGATGATGCTGATGACGATGATGATGACGACGACGACGATGATGATGATGATGATGATGATGATGATGATGGTGATGATGATGATGAGGGCGATGATGAGGATGAGGATGAGGATGAGGATGAGGATGAGGATGAGGATGAGGATGCGGAGAAAGATGATGAAGATGAGGATGATGATGATGATGCTGCTGATGAAGACGATGCGTATGCTGCTGATGATGATACTGATACTGGTGATGACGATGATGATGCATATGCTGATAGTGATGATGAAGATGATGCTGATGCTGCTGCTGCTGCTGCTGCTGCTGATGATGATGATGATGATGATGATGATGATGATGAGTGATGACGATGATGATAATGATGCTGATGCTGATGATGATGCCGATGGCGGTGGCGATGATACCGATGACGATGATGACGATGCTGACGACGATGGCGGCGATGCTGATACTTATAATGATGCTGATTATGCTGATGCTGATGACGATGGTGCTGATGAGGATGATGATGCTGATTACGATGATACTGATTACGATGATGGTGGCAATGCTGTCGATGATGATAATAATGAGGATGATGGTGATGCTAATGATGCTGTTGTTGGTGATTCTGACGGTGATGATGCTGCTGAAGATGATTATGATGCTGCTGCTGTTGCTGCTGCTGCTGCTGCTGCTGCGCTGATGATGATGATGATGATGATGATGATGATGATGATGATGATGATGATGATGATGATGATGATGATGATGATGATGATGATGATGATGATGACGGTGGTGGTGGTGGTGGTGGTGATGATGGTGGTGATGATGCTGATGATGATGGTGGTGGTGATTGTGAGGAGGAGTAGGTGGAGGAGGAGGAGGAGGAGGAGTTGGAGATGGTGGAGGAGGTGGAGGAGGAGGAGGAGGGGGAGGAGGAGCAGGGGAGGGTCTTTGTACAGGTTCTCTCGCACTCCTGTTGGGCGTGATCATCCCCTCGCTCTTCCCGTCCCCCCTCGTGCCGCGTATGTACCCCGACTCCGAACCTTCGACCGTCATTCTTTCTCACGGCGTGGGCCAGGGAGCCTTCGACGCCATTCCCCCAGGACCAGTTTCATGCCGCGGGTCGTCTCGTCGCTGCCCAGTCTCCCTCCTCGTTCCTCTCGCCATCTCCCTTGTCCACCGTCCCCTCCCCACCAGCTGGGAAGCAGGCACTTTTCAGCACGTGCTGCCCTTGCCAAGCAACGAGTTTTCTCGCCGCGGGTCCGTTTCCGAAGATCCCGTGGGTGGGCCGTACATCGCCCCTCCCCTGGCGCCCGAATCGAGACAGGCAGCCGCCAACACCACCAGCGAGGTTGCCCCCCGGCGAGGAACGCCTCGCTTGAGGTGTCGTGAGCGGGGCGCTGAGAGCGAGCGTGCCCCTTGCCCCTTGCGGTGGTGATGCTAATGCCGAGCTTCCTCGGCCGCCCTCTCGTCGGAGGCTGCCGGAGGTGGTCCTGGCCCAGGGCGCCTCCAGCATGGCATGCCGTGCCGGAGGCCGCGGGGCCCCGTGGGCCCCGCGAGGCGCGCTCCGGCGGCGGCCCCGTCGGGCCACACGCCTCCGACCCCGTCGGTGCTTCTCGCACCGCGGGCCCTGACCGCCTGGGCCTCTGTTGCAGCCACGACGCCGTCGGTGTTGATCGCACCGCGGGCCCTGACCGCCTGGGCCTCTGTTGCAGCCACGACGCTGAACTAAGGAGCAGTTTGGGTTCGGAAGGGGCCTGATGTTCCTTGGGTTCCTCCTCTGCTGCTCCTCTCGCCCTCCTGGAGCACGGAGGCGCGTTCGGGGCCAAGAAGGGGCTCCGTGCCTTGTTCAGCGTTCCTTCTTTCAGCGGCCCGACTGTACTTGGCATCTTGTGGGCACCTCTCCTGCCATGTAGATGGCGGTCTTTCCTTCCACTCCGACACCCGTGGGGCTGCCGTCTGTGCGATGATCCTCGTGGCGTGTGGTGGCCGAGTGCGTGTTCCCTGTGCGGCCCTCACTGCATCGGCTGCTTTCTCTCGGAGGGCCTCGGTGGACAATCGCGCGTGGGCGCAAGGGCACGGTCCCCAGACCCCCGACGTCATGATTTTTCCCGGAAAGGGCATGGGCCCAGGGTTCTCTTTTAGTAGGTAAACCTGTCCCCCGGTGCCAACTTGAGGGAGGCCGGCGAATTTTTTCCCTGATGAATAACGAGGTCGAAGGAGGCCGGCGAATTAAAAATTGAGGATGTCTCGAGCGAAACGCTTGTTTTTGAAATCCCGATCGATAAATCACAGGGTGCGGGCCACTTTTTCGTGTGTTGAGGATGTCTCGAGCGAAACGCTTGCTCCGCAGAGTTTGCCGAGGATGTCTCGAGCGAAACGCTTGTTTTGCAGAGCCGACCGCGACGCGGAAAAGCGCCCCGCGCGAAGGAAATTCGATGATGTCTCGACTAATTCGTTTGTTTTTGTACGATTTCCTGGAATTTTGGCAGGATGTCTCGAGCGAAATGCACGACCCCACCCTAGCACGACCATACCCCAGCACGACCACACCCCAGCACGACCAGACCCCAGCACGACCCCACCCCAGCACGACCCCACCCCAGCCCGACCATACCCCAGCACGACCACACCCCAGCACGACCCGACCGCAGCACGACCCTACCCCAGCAAGACCACACCCCATCACGACCACACCCCAGCACGACCACACCCCAGCACGACCCCACCCCAGCACGACCACGCCCCAGCACGACCACGCCCCAGCACGACCACGCCCCAGCACGACCACGCCCCAGCACAACCACCCCCCAGCACGACCACCCCCCCAGCACGACCACGCCCCAGCACGACCACCCCCCCGCACGACCACTCCCCAGCACGAACCAACCAGCCACGACCACACCCCAGCACGGAACACACCCGCAGCAACGACAAATCCCAGCAGGCACCCACCCCAGCAAAGACACCCAGCCCAGCACGACCCCAACCTAGCAAGACCACACCCCAGCACGACCACACCCCAGCACGACATCACCACAGCACGACCACACCCCAGCACGACCACGCCCCAGCACGACCACGCCCCAGCACGACCACGCCCCAGCACAACCACCCCCCAGCACGACCACCCCCCCAGCACGACCACACACCAGCACGACCACCCCCCAGCACGACCACACCCCAGCACGACCACTCCCCAGCACGACCACACCGCCTTGGTTGAGTGGTTGCATGTCGTCGTGGAATGTTTCGTGGGGTGTCTCGTGGACTGTTTCGCGGGGTGCCTCGTGGAATGTTTCGTGAGGCGTCTCGCGGAATGTTTCGTGAGGTTCTCGTGGGATGTCTCGTGGGATGTTTCGTGAGGTGTCTCGTGGGATGTTTCGTGAGGTGTTGCCCCGTTGGGTATCGTGAAAACGTGCCCATGCTCCACATGTCTATATCCCTTTCCGGGTTCGTGGGTCCATCATGTTTCATGACGCGACCCCCAGAACTCTGGACCCATTCCCCGGGACCGGCTCTTCATCCT